CTCGCAGAGACTCGCAAAGCCGCACAGCACAGACGGGGACGTACGTGGCACGCAAGCTCGCCGGCGACCACCTCCTTCACCAAGGGAAATAGCCGAATGGTGCCGGTCTCCTGCCTAACGAATTAACAGCCTGTGTCCAGAGGATGCTGTGGTGGTGCAGTGAGGACTCCCAGGCTGAATCCCAGCCTGTGCTGGCTGATCCTATAGCTGTGTCTGGGCCCACAGCACAGCCAGGCGAAGTTTTTACTCTCTAAGTTATTATAAACCTGGAAATGTCATTAGCAAACACAGTCAAACGCCCCCATGAAGCCTGACCTCAGTCTGCATGTCGTCATCGTTACATGCCCCCCCACGGGCAATGGAGGGGTCTCACAGTGGGGGAGGCCCTCTGTAAAATTTTGCAGTAGCCCCCCCACTTCGAGACAGGGGCAGACACCCCACTGCCTCCTTTGTCACCCCCCCACCGCTCCTGACAGCCATACCAGGCCGGTAAAATAAATCATATAATGTGGTTTTACCACACCCCGACTGGAGACTGTAGTGGGAAGAACATAAAACGACAGCGACGTCTTCACTAGACCTGAAACAAACCCTGATTGTGTTTTATGAGATTATATCCCAAGGGCTTATGGGTAAATCTGACAGGTCAGTACAGAATGAAAAGGTCTGATTGCTGACATATGATAAAGACCCCTTTCTTTCCCTGTCTTTTTAAGACATGTGTACAATAAGGAAATAAAAGGCTAGAACAAAAACGCACACAACCAGTGGCCCAAAGAGCTTAACCAGCGGGGACCAGCAAGACAGGAAGTCCTGATGTTCTAAAATCAGATTATAATGCAAGGAGGAACATTCCGAAGTCTTTGAAACCAGGATTTGATTTTAATCTTCTAAAAAGCTCAGTATAGGCTAATAGGAAATGTGGAGAACATGATGTGGAACACTCTGTATAGGCTAATAAGGAATGAGGAGAACATGATGTGGAACACTCTGTATAGGCTAATAAGGAATCTGGAGAACATGATGTGGAACACTCTGTATAGGCTAATAGGAAATGTGGAGAAAATGATGTGGAACACTGTATATGTTAATAGGAAATGTGAAGAACATCATGTGGAACACTCTGTATAGGCTAATAGGAAATGTGGAGAAAATGATGTGGGACACTATAGGTTAATAGGAAATGTGGAGAAAATGATGTGGAACACTGTATAGGTTAATAGGAAATGTGGAGAACATGATGTGGAACACTGTATAGGTTAATAGGAAATGTGGAGAACATGATGTGGAACACTGTATAGGTTAATAGGAAATGTGGATAACATCGTTGCTTGGTGATACAGGACAGGTGAGGAACACCTCTGTATAGGTCAGAAGCTTTCGGATGGGTCTGGAGAAGCTTACCTTTTTATGGCCTTATAGCAGATGATGGCAGTCAGAAGTAGGAAGACCCCAGAAGCACATCCCAGTGATCCCAGTACAGCTATCTCCTTCCACCAGGGCTTCATCTGAGGCACAATGGATTCAGCCACTGGGAACAGAATGAGGATGGGGGCAGGCAAGGGGGAGGAGGTAACTGAGTGTGTGAGCTTCCGCTTTACAACACAAAGCTCCTGACAATTTAAAGTTGTAAACCATTCATGAAAAATCCACAACGTTGCTCGTTAGTTTGGAGGGGAAACTCTTCGTCCAGTCAGACCAAAAGTTTGTGACATTGGACCTGCACTGACCACTATATCAGACCATGCACATGCGTTCCATTGAGCTTTACCATCACCCCAAACTCCATCGGATGCTCAACCTGTCTCCAAAAAATGCCATGTGGGTTGGCCTTCCCATGGAGGGCTCTGATGTCGAGAGTGACGGCACTCCGAGCACGAAGCCTCCTATCCGTGGCTGGGCTGTGGGCAGATGCACTCACTGCGATTCCATTCGGGACTCGGAACCCCCAAAGCGCTTCATTTGCATGATTACAGAAGTACCCCAGGCCTGATCACTTAAGCCCCCACCCTTAATGTTCAAGAACCCCCTACTGCTGGCTGGACGTCCTCGCTGGTATATCTCTCCATACAAAGAACTTAACACCAAGAGTCCATTTCGGTTAATGGACCAATCGTACACAGTGGATAAAAACCATAAATAACATAAGTGGATCTAAGGAAAGAGGATGGGTTCAACGCCCCCCCCCACTGAACGCCCCCCCCAACACCCCCCGCTCCCTGCCCACCACCATTGGATCACAAATGAGTGTTTAGGACTCGAGAAAGCAAATTCCCCTAGAATCTGCCTCTACCATCAGAATAAAATTCATACATGTACCATTATTCTCCAAACTACTGTGTATTGTGATTGGATGATTCATAATTTCATCATTTTTGGTTGGTCATCTATCAACAATATCTAGAATACTATTGTTCCCCATACATGCTGCATAAAGCTGCCATGTAGAATTTGGCACTACTGCTGCCCAAAGAGCCAGAGGTGGATCTTTGCTGGATATTTACTGAAATATCACACCACAGGTATAGCACCTGTGATTTGAACCTGCACCCTACCGGCAGAAATTCCAATTGCCAGATCCCTTCGTAAGTGGAGTGCATGATGCCGGCAGGACACGGTGTTTTCAGAGTACTTCATCTCGTCTTCAACAATGAACAGCATTAAACCAAGTGCACTTAAAGCCTTATCAATGTTTGACTGACTGGCAGTTATGATCCTCAGATAAAGAGATGGGAACAAAGGGTCTGTCTCTGTCCACCACAACGCCCGCCGATTTAGCTTATGCGCTCAGATAAGAGGGGGGACGTGGTTCCTTCCAATACGACCCTCAATCGTTATCAAAGTGCTGCATGTGCTGTTTGTTATCAGGGCTGCTTCCCAAGGATGATCGGGATACCGGAATCTGAGAGGCAGAAACATAAATCGCCCGGCACCCACGCTCCGCGAATTTTAAAGAAATCTGACAATAAATTCTTATCTTATTTGACAGAATACCAGGGGGATAGAGGGACCTTTACTCTTGTAGGAAGGACAGGAAACAAGTATTTTTAAGAAACATTTACAGTTGTCAGTTATGATGTTACTCTGAGCAAAGGGCACTAGCCGCTGGCATTAAGAAATGTCAGCCAGCCAGGGAGCCGCTCAGCTGATAAAAAAACATGAGGGAGAGGTCTGATTAAGCCCCTCCTCCATCCCGTCAATGGGCAGAAATGTCAGGATTTGTGTTTATAATTGGTATACAGTGAACAACACAAACCAAACATTTCCAATGTATATGTTGTATATGTTGAGTGTCCCCTACTGCCCTGTGCTTAAACTCACTGTGGCCTTATACTAGAAGAGGGATGGATGGATGGATGGATGGATTGATGGATGGATGGATTTCATATTCTTTACAGAGATAGATATACTTCATCATCTTTTTACCCTGAGCAGTCCGGTAGCCAGAAATAAATATCATGATGTCTGATAACCCTACTGACAGCCCCCACCTCGGTCTCCAGGAAGGATCCGACTGAATATTCACCGCCTTTCCCTTCTCTCTCTACTCACACAATGTCCAAACCCACAAAGCTGCACATTTCAAAGGAAAAATCCATGTAAAATGCCCAGGGGAATTACTATCGCTGCTGACTTAATATCAGTTAAAAAATCTGACAATTCGAGTAACTCTCTGGACTGAATATAATGGAGAAGGATCAAGTTGCCTACAGTTGTCAAACAGGAGACATCTGCAGAGCACTCCTACAGAAGAGTGACTTCTTATGCCGAACAATTTGGGAAGCTTGTGGCTGAAACCTTTCAATCAAAAGGATACTTAGCAAACTTACATAAACAGCAGGCTCCCTGACATGCCTTACACCCAATCACAGTACTGTGTTAACCCTTTGAACGCTATCCACTTTTAGTGTTGTCCTATCCCTTTGATTTTAGGCATATTACATTGTATGTACATGTGTTAGCCACATATGCTTATTGGCGTTGCTTTCAGGACATTCTAGGCTATTCAGATATGTCATAATTTGATGTGTGAATGCTGACAGTCTTGATATCATTCTTCCTATGAGGAAAAACTACTTGCGCCTATGAAATTTCTCAGTTTTTAGTCTCATCTAATATAAAAATTTGCAGACACTACAAATATAACCTAATAAATTTTGAGATTCCATGGCTTAGTATTTTGAAGTCATACATGGTTAGTGCCAGTCAGAAATGAATATCTTTGATTTTACATCCATTTCGTAACTTGTCGAAGTTATCTGATAGACAGCAATGTATGGTTTTATATTTTTATTGTTTTATTTATTACTTTATAACATCTGAAAGAAATTGAAATAGAAAAGCATTGTTCAGTTTGTGATACACTGGATAAACATCCAGTTTTAGAATCTAATGCTGAATGTTTATTGCTATTGTTTTTCCACTTAAATACGCTATGATTGGTAAACAAATCAGCGCTGTGGCATCTCATTGTGTTTACATGTAGGAGGTGTTCCAATTATACAATGGGTGCGTTCAATTGCAACTGTTTTGACGGAGCTCAACATTAAATATACATATACAAACTTTTGTGATTAAATATTGCAAAAATATCAAGTAATTGCCTTCCTAATAAATATACTCAGTGACAAAAAAAAGTTAAGCACCCAGACAGAGTGGTGGAAATGAAATTAATCTGCACGTGTTGAAAGGTCATGTGACTGTATCGCAATGATTATAATATCAGATCAAGCGGACAACAGAGTGGGCAGTATGGGCACATTGCTGGTCCCATGTCAGTAGGGTGTGGAACCCCCCCTCCCCCCCCGGGTGTGGACAGATGCGGCGATACGATGCGGAAGCTGTTGTATCCTCTGCTGTGGCAAGTCGACCCGCAGCTGTTGTATCTGGCCTTCGAGTTCCTGCAGATTGGCACTGGATCTGAGCTGATGCCCGATCTGATCCCACACGATTGATTGGGGAAAGATCAGGGGAGCTGGCTGGCCACAGGAGGACCTCAACATGATGCAGGCAGTACATAGACACACGTGCCGTGTGTGGAAGGGCGTTGTCTTGTTGAAAGACTGTACCAGGGTGTTGTCTCAGGAGGAGTAAGACATGCGGACGCAGGATGTCACTGACGTCATGCTGTGCCATCAGGGTCCCCCGAATCACTACCAGAGATGACCTGAAGTCATACCCTATGTCTCCCCACACAATGATGTCATATCCTATGGCTCCCCACACCATGATGTCATATCCTATGTCTCCCCACACCATGATATCATATCCTATGTCTCCCCACACCATGATGTCATACCCTATGTCTCCCCACACCATGATGTCATATCCTATGTCTCCCCACACCATGATGTCATATCCTATGTCTCCCCACACCATGATGTCATATCCCCAGCCTCATGCAAACCCACAATGTGACCCATATCAAACTCCATCAAGTGCTGGTAATGCTGTCCTATGCGTCTACGAGGCGTCCTCTGTATCTGGTGACTAGACCTGCCAGCTCCTTGCAAATCAAATCATTTACATGCCCATTGCTGGTCTGCAGATGTACCAAATTACATCCAAATCGGAACATTACTTCTGAGTGCTTAACTTTTTTTGTCACTTAGTGTCAAATGCTGCATTTTGTTGTTATTTCTAGTAGAATTCCAGTCCTTTTTTCATTCCTTTATTTATATGCTTATAATAAACAAATTACAAAATAAATATTTTTTCCCAGAAGGGTAGTGCGTGGATCATTGTGGAAGGGAATATTCCCTTTGTTTTTCATCTAATGTGAATAATATTGATGTTTTATGGATCATTAGGGGTGTTTTTTCATGGAAAATGTTTAATATATATCTCTCATTGTGCAGAGGATTACTCTGGAATATTTTAGCACACACTGTTGCAACTTGGACAACTGGATTGAGTAATTTCTCTCGATTGTAATCTATGAGATTCATGTCTGTACTTTATACCTATCCAAAGTTACGAGCCTGAGATTATTAGGTGCGAAAATCAACGCATGTTCTCAGGGATAACAAACAGATGAATATTAAGCCATTGTGATAAATGCTGAGGCGTTTTTATGAGTGGTCTTGACTGCTTTTGAAATAAAGCCTCGAGTCCTCTATGTCCGAGACCGAGACAAGACCGAGTCAAAATAAAGTCGATTATGAGACGAGACCAAGACTGCAAAAAATTGGGACCCAGACTGGTCTCGAATACTACAACACTAACTGCATTCACAAAGGCTGGTCGGGCACAAGTCCACATTTCAAACTACACTCCACAACATCGTTATAAATGAAATATAGATAATGATGGCCCACTGGCGCTCTGCATGAGCTGTCGGTCTGAAACAGGAAGACCGGATCTTCCCAGATGTTCGGCGCCACTCACAGCTGCAGGGGATGCGACAGTCGCAAAGAAATCTGTGGGGGTTTTATGCAAGTCATGCGAAAGGAGGCGCTCCTGCCAACAGCCGACGGTGTCACGGGTCACCGAGCCAAAGTCACAGGGCCGTGCCACCGACATCTTTCTAGA